TTTCCACCCCAGATGTTGCAGTTCACCTGGGGGACCCCGGCGCACCGGGTTTCCGTCTCTGAGGCTGCAGTTCACGTGCGCGTGACCGTCGCTCTGGGTTTCTGTCGGGGTGGCTGCGGTTCACGTGCGCGCGACCCCGCCAGTCTGGTTTTTCACCCTGGGGGCTGCACTAAAGTCCTTTCCCGACGCTACCAGTCTGCGAGTCTGTGCCCGTCCATAGTGCGCGAGGCTGTCACTCACTGGTTGTGTAGGATCCCCATGGCCAGGCACCCTCCCGCTGCCATTTATCCTCCAATATCTGCCCGCAGAACCACGGCTCTCCGCTTTGTACCTCAAAACCAACCCCCTGTGATATTCTGTTTGTAGAGATCCAGATATTCTTACACCTCAGGCTGGTTTTGTGGGTGCTCAGAGTGGTCTGGTAGATACCTAGCTCAATTCCGGGGAGCAGTTGAAATAGGGTCCCCTACTCCTCCGCCATCTTTCCCCACTCTTCCTCATAAAACGAGTTTGGAAGTTTTCCTCCATTTCTATTTTTTGGAACAGTTTCAGAAGAATAGGTATTAATTCTTCTTGAAATGTTTGGTAGAATTTTCCTGGGAAGCCATCTGGCCCTGGGCTTTTGTTTGTTGGGAGATTTTTGATGACTGCTTCAATTTCGTTAGTGGTTATAGGTCTGTTCAGGTTTTCTATTTCTTCCTGGTTCAGTTTTGGTAGTTGATACATCTCTAGGAATACATCCATCTCTTCCAGATTATCTAATTTGCTGGCATAGAGTTGCTCACAACATGTTCTTATAATTGTTTGTATTTCTTTGGAGTTGGTTGTGATCTCTCCTCTTTCATTCATGATTTTGTTGATTTGGGTCATTTCTCTTTTCTTTTGGATAAGTCTGGCCAGGGGTTTATCAATCTTGTTAATTCTTTCAAAGAAGCAGCTCCTTGTTTCGTTGATCTGTCCTACTGTTCTTTTGGTTTCTATTTCATTGATTTCTGCTCTGATCTTTATTATTTCTCTTCTCCTGCTGGGTTTAGGTTTTATTTGCTGTTCTTTCTCCAGCTCCTTTAGGTGTAGGGTTAGGTTGTGTATTTGAGACCTTTCTTGTTTCTTGAGAAAGGCTTGTATTGCCATATACATTCCTCTTAGGACTGCCTTTGCTGCATCCCAAAGATTTTGAACAGTTGTGTTTCATTTGTTTCCATGAATTTTTAAAATTCTTCTTAAATTTCCTGGTTGACCCATTCATTCTTTAGTAGTATGCTCTTTAGCTGCCATGTATTTGAGTTCTTTCTTACTTTCCTCTTGTGATTGGGTTCTCGTTTCAAAGCATTGTGGTCTGAAAATAGGCAGGGAATGATCCCAATCTTTTGGTACCAGTTGAGACCTGATTTGTGATCTAGGATGTGATCTATTCTGGAGAAAGTTCCATGGGCACTGGAGAAGAATGTGTATTGTGTTGCTTTGGGATGGAATGTTCCGAATATATCTGTGAAGTCCATTTGGTCCAGTGTGCCATTTAAAGTCTTTATTTCCTTGTTGATCTTTTGCTTAGACGATCTGTCCATTTCCGTGAGGGGGGTGTTAAAGTCCCCCACTATCAATGTATTGTTGTTGATGTGTTTCTTTGCTTTTGTTATTAACTGGCTTATATAATTGGCTGCTCCCATGTTAGGGGCATATTTACAATTGTTAGATCTTCTTGTTGGATAGACCCTTTAAGTAGGATATAGTGTCCTTCCTCATCTCTTATTGCAGCCTTTGATTTAAAATCTCATTTGTCTAATATAAGGATTCCCACCCCAGCTTTCTTTTGGTGTCCATTAGCATGGTAAATGGTTTTCCACCCCTTTACTTTCAATCTGGGTGTGTCTTTGGGCCTAAAATGAGTCTCTGGCAGACAGTATATAGATGGGTCTTGTTTTTTTATTCAATCTGATAGCCTGTGTCTTTTGATTGGGGCATTTAGCCCATTTACGTTCAGGGTAACTATTGAAAGATATGAATTTGTGCCATTGTAATGCCTGTAAGGTGACTGTTATTGTATATTGTCTGTGTTCCTTTCTGGTCTATGTTGCTTTTAGGGTCTCTCTTTGCTTAGAGGACCCCTTTCAATAGTTCTTGTAGGGCTGGTTTTGTGTTTGCAAATTCCTTTAGTTTTTGTTTGTCCTGGAAGCTTTTTATCTCTTCTTCTATTTTCAATGACAGCCTAGCCGGATATAGTATTCTTGGCTGCATATTTTTCTCATTTAGTGCTCTGAATATATCCTGCCAGTCCTTTCTGGCCTGCCAGGTCTCTGTGGATAGGTCTGTTGCCAATCTAATGTATCTACCATTGTAGGTTACATATCTCTTCTCCCGAGCTGCTTTTAGGATTTTCTCTTTGGCTCTGAGACTCGTAAGTTTTACTATTAGATGTTGGCATGTTAACCTATTTTTATTGATTTTGAGAGGGCTTCTCTGTGCCTCTTGGATTTTGATGCTTGTTTCCCTCGCCAAATTAGGGAAGTTCTCTGCTATAATTTGCTCCAATATACCTTCTGCCCCTCTCTCTCTTTCTTCTTCTTCTGGGATCCCAATTATTCTAATGTTGTTTTGTCTTATGGTATCGCTTCTCTCTCGAATTCTGCCCTCATGATCTAGTAGTTGTTTATCTCTCTTTTTGTCAGCTTCTTTATTTTCCATCATTTGGTCTTCTAAATCACTGATTCTCTCTTCTGCCTCATTTATCCTAGCAGTTAGCACCCCCATATTTGATTGCACCTCATTAATAGCCTTTTTGTTTTCGACTTGGTTAGATTTTAGTTCTTTTACTTCTCCAGAAAGCATTTCTCTAATAACTTCCATGCTTTTTTCAAGCCTAGCTAGTGTCTTTAAAACCATCATTCTTAACTCTACTTCTGACATCATACTAATGTTCGTATTGAGTAGGGCCCTGGCAGTCAGTACTGCTTCTTGTTCTTTTTGTTGAGGTGATTTTTTTCCATCTTGTCATTTTGTTCAGAGGAGAATAGATGAATGAGACAACAAAATGCTAACAGGGTAACAATGTCCCCAGAAAATATACTCTAAACAAATCAGAAAATACCTGAAACTGGGTGAAAAGAAAGGGAAAGAAAGAAAAAAGAAAAAAAAAAAGGATAAAAACAAAGAAACAAGAAACAGAATATGATGAAATATGATCAGGCTGGTGCACAGATCAGTGCCACACACTAGATTTGGGGCTTATTTTGGTCTGTTAGAAGAAAGTGCCTCCCAAAAATTTAAAGAAAGAAAAACTTATATATGTACAAAAGTAAAGGTACATATGATGAAGGGATGGACTATGACTGTAAAGATGAAAATTATAAAAGATATAAAAGGAATTGATAAGAAGTTGGTTGTAAAAAGAAAGAAGAGGATTTAAAAAAGGTGGGGGGAGAGAATGTGATCAGGCAGGAGACTAGAACAAAACCATACACCAGATATTTAGGGTATATTTTGGTCTGTTAGAAGAAACTGTATCTCAAAATTTTAAAACGAGAACAACTTATATATATGCCAAAAATAAGGGTAACTACTGTGAAGGGATAGAATATGACTCTAAAAATGAGAAATAAAAATGTTTTTTAAAAAAGGGATTGACAAGATGTTGGTTGAAAAAGGGAAAAAAAAAAAAAACAAAAAAAAAACGATAGTTAAAAAGAATTAACTTTGAAAGACTAAAGAATCATGGTAAAAAAGCCATGAATTCTATGTGCAGTATTCCCCTAGCGCTGGAGTTCTGCCGTTCTCATTGATAGGTAAACTTGGCCTTGCCTGGCTGTTCTTGCTGATCTCCTGGGGGAGGGGCCTGTTGTTGTGGTTCCCAAATGTCTTTGCCGGAGGTGGAATTGCCCCACTCTTGCCTGGTCTGGGCTAAGTAATCTGCTCGGGTTTCCTCTTGGGAGCTTTTGTTCCCTGCAAGCTCTCCGCATGGATTTGCAGGACGAAAGTGAAAATGGCGGCCTCCCAATCTCTGCTCCAGAGGAGCCGAGAACTCAGGGCCCCACTCCTCAGTGCATCCCCAGAGAAAAGCAGTCACTCCTGTCTCCCCGGTCTCCGGCCGCACTCCGTGCTCTCCCGGCTTGTGACCGAGCGTTTCTATCTCTGGCACCCGACTCGGTGTGGAGTCTCCAATTCCAGCAGATCCCTGTGGTGCAGTCCCTCACCACTCCTCCCGGGGGAGGAAGGGGAGTCTCCCAGGATCTGCCGTTTGTTCAGTGCCTGATGGAGGAGCAGTGGCCCGAATGTGCCCTGGATCACGGTTTATGGCAACCCGAACTGAGAGCCCGCGCCTCGGCTCTGTCTCTGCAGCTGGCTTCCCTGCTCCAATAACTGGGAGCTCTGTCACACTCAGGCACCCCCGGTCTTTCTGTGACCCCAAGGGTCCTGAGACCACACTGTCCTGTCAGGGTTTCCCCCCCCCCCCGCCCCCGCTTAGCCACTGGACCGACGTCCCTCAGCAGAGCCCACTTCTAAAAGTTCTGATTTTGTGCTCCGCTGCTCTATCACTTGCCAGAAGCGGCAGACGGAGGCCCCTCCCCTGCCATCTATCCTCCTGAATATCGCCTCGGATTCACTTCTCCACACGTCCTACCTTCCAGAAAGTGGTTGATTTTCTGTTCAGAGAGTTGTTGCTATTCTTTTCTTCAATCTCCTGTTGAGTTTGTAGGTGTTCAGAATGGTTTGATCCCTATCCAGCTGAATTCCTGAGAGGAGACGAAATCCAGGTCTCCTACTCCTCTGCCATCTTGCTGAGGCGGTACTATCACAAATTTACTTTTCTTCTTACTGTTTCTGAACACTGGGGTAATGTCATTCTTGGTTTGTGAACAGGGTTGACTTCTGGATTTCAGGGGCAAAGACCCAGGGACTCTGATCCAGTACCACCTTCATCTACCAATGAGTCTCCAGGGTCTGTTGTCTGGGGCTGAGTGAGCAGCGTCTTCATGCTCACTAGCTCTGTGTCTCCATCCCCCCAGGGCCTCATACAGGAGGTGGATGAGCTGCTGGAGACCCCTGACGACCTGGAGGCCCTGCCCCACTCAGAGCAGCACTGTGTGGCCACTAACCTGCTTGTTGGCCTGGAGGATGTCCTGAGAAACCTGAGCCAGGCCCTGCCCAGTGGGACATTGACCTTCAATGCATCTGCAGGCACAGGTAAGTACTGGGGTCTGCCCCAGGCTCTGCTCTGCCTGTTCCCACCTCCTTTGTCCCCCAGCCTCACTGGCGTGTGTGACCATGCTTATATCTCCGTATTAAACTCATAAGCCAATTAAAAGGTTAAGTGAATAAAACTGTAAATCATACACATTTTCACTGTAATATAAATTATCAACAGATGAAATAATTAGAATTTAAGATAACAAAATAGAAACATCTTCAAAAGAAGACAATTTGTTAAATTTTGAAGAATGCAAATTTGATAATACTTGATATTTAAGTATGATTTGTTTTATTGAGGTAAGATTCATGTAATATAAAATTCACCATTTTAAGGAAAGTGTAAAATTCAGTGGCACTTAGTACACTCCCAGAGTTGTACAACCATCACCTCCATTTCTAAAATATATTCATCACCCAAAAGTAAATAGTGTACCCACTAAGCAGTCCCTTCTCATCTCTCCCTCCCTAGACCCTGGCAGCCACCAGTCTGTTTTCTGTATCTGTGGATTTGAATATTCTGAACATTTCATACCTATAGAATCATGCAGTAGGTGACCTTATGGTCTGGCTTCTTTCACACAGCCTCATGTTTTCAAGGGGAATCCCTGTTGTAGCATGTTGCGGAATTCCTTTCCTTTTTATGGTTGAATAATAGTCCATTATTGTGGATATAGTACCTTTTGAGTATCATTCATCCAGTGACTGACTTTTGGGTTGTTGCCAGCTTTTGACTATTTTGAATAGCATGGCTGTGAATATTGCTGGACAAGTTTTTGTTGGAATAACTATTCTTAGCTCTTTGCATACATACATAGGAGTGGATTTTTTTAAATTTTTTATTGTTATGTTAATCACCATGCATTACATCATTAGTTTTTGATGTAGTGTTCCATGATTCATTGTTTGTGCATAACACCCAGTGCTCCATGCAGAACGTGCCCTCTTTAATACCCATCACCAGGCTAACCCATCCTCCCACCCCCCTCCCCTCTAGAACCCTCAGTTTGTTTTTCAGAGTCCATTGTCTCTCATGGTTCATCTCCCGCTCCGATTTCCCCCCACTCATTCTTCATAGGAGTGGATTTTTTTAAAAAAGATTTTATTTATTTATTTGACTGAGAGAGAGAGCACAAGCAGGGGGAGTGGCAGAGAGAGAGGGAGAAGCAGGCCCCCCATGGAGCAGGGAGCCCAAAGCAGGGCTTGATGCCGGGACCCTGGGATCATGACCTGAGCTGAAGGCAGATGCTTGACTGACTGAGCCACCCAGGTGCTGCAGGAGTGGAATTTCTAAGCAATGAGGTCACTCTGTGTTCAACTTTTTGAGGAACTACCAAACTCTTTTTCCAAAATGGAGGCACCATTTTACATCCCCACCAGCAACACACAAGGATTCCCATATCCACAGTCTCAGCAACACTTGGTACTTACATTTTGTTTTCCTTCAGCCTTTTTAGTGTATGTCAGGGGATATCTTGTTGTGGTTTTGATTTTCCTTTCCCAAATGACTAATGACATTTAACATCTTTTTATGTGATTGTTGAATATTTGTATATATATATTTTGAAACATCTATTCAAGTCCTTTGCCTATTTTTTAATTCTTTGTTTGGCTTTTGGTTGTTGAGCTGTAAGAGTTCTTTATATATTGTATAGTACACTCTATGAGACATGTGATTTGCTAAGTTTTTCTCCCATTCCATAGACTGTCTTTTCACTTAAATGAACAGAAGCTTCTGTTTTGATGAAATTTCTCTTTTGTTTTCTCTATTTTTCTTTTGTTGTGTGTGCATTTGGTGTCTTCTTTAAGAATCCATTGCCAAATCCAAGGCCATGAATATTACACCTGTGTTTCTTCCTAACTGTTCTGGTTTTAGCTCATAAATATAGGTCTTTGACCCATTTTGAGTTAATGTTTGTTTGTTGTGTAAGGTGCAGTTCCTTCTACTGCAAGTGGAGATCCAGATGTGCCACACTGTTTGCTGAAGAGACTTTTTTTTTTTCACTGAAGGGTCTTGGCATCCCTTTTTTTAAATAGATTTTTAAAATTAATTAATTAATTAATTATTTTATTTTATTATGTTAGTTTTTTTTTAAGATTTTTATTTATTTGTCAGATTGAGAAAGAGAAAGCACAAGCAAGGAAAGCGGCAGGCAGAGGGAGAAGCGCCCCCCCCCCCCCCCCCCCCCCCCCCCCCCCCCCCCCCGCTGAGCAAGGAGCTGATGCGGGACTCGATCCCAGGATCCTGGGATCATGACCTGAGCCGAAGGCAGACACTTAACCAACTGAGCCACCCAGTCGCCCCAGGTCTTGGCATCCCTTGTCGGAATTCAATTGACCACAGATGTATGGGTTTATTTCCGGATTTTCAATTTTTTCAATTTATTTATTTTTGCGAGAGAGAGAGAGAGAGAGAGCAAGCATGACGAGGGGGAGGGGCAGAGGGAGAAGCAGACTCCCCGTTGAGCAGGGAGCCTAATGTGGGGCTCGATCCCAGGACCATGGGATCACGACCCGAGCCAAAGCAGATGCTTAACAGACTGAGCCACCCAGGCACCCTGGACTTTCCATTTTATTTTACTAGTCTGTATGTCTATCCTTATGCCAGTGCCCTACTGTTCTGATTACTGTAGGTTAATAGTTTTGAAATCAGGAGGTGCATGTACTCCAATTTTGTTTTTCATTTTCAAGATTGTTTTGGGTGTTTGGGCCCCTTGCAATGCCCTGTGAACTTTAGGATGGACTTTTCCATTTCCAAAAAAATGTTTTTGGAATATAGATATGGTATATATTAAATCTGTAGACCTCTTTGGGAAATATTGCCATCTTATCAATATTAAGCCTTTTAAACCATGAATATAGACTGTTTTCCCAGTTACTTAGGGTCTCTCATTTATCCCAACAATTTTTTTTTGTAGTTTGTTGTGTACAAGTCTTGAACCTCCTTGGGTAGATTTATTCCTAATAATATTTTGTTAAAGGTTGTTTTACATCTATGCTCACAAGAAATATTGGTCTATAGTTTTCTCCTAATGGATTTTTCTGGTTTTGTTATCAGGGTGATGGTGGCTTCATAAGATTATTTAGACAGTATTCTATCCTTTCCTACTTTTGGAGGAATTTACAAAGGATTCTTATTAATTCTTACTTAAAAGGTTGGCAGAATTCACCAGTAAAGCTATTTGGTCTAGGCTTTTTATTTTGGGGAATTTTTACCTGTTTATTATCTTTGCCTGTGATAGGTCTGTTCAATTTTATTAGTTCTTCGGTTACTTTTGTACTTTGTGTGTCTCTAGGATTTTGTCACTTTCATCTAGATTATCCAGTTTGTTGGTGTACAATTGCTCATCGTATTTTCTTATAGTCCTTTGTAACTGTGTGTGTGTGTGTGTGTGAGAGTGTGTGCATGTGCCTACCACCACACATATAAAATAATGGTGTTATAGCAACCCCACAGGCACAATTACTAACCTAACTCCCTTATCTAACTCCTATCACTCATAGACCTGTCCCTGAAGGTGCAGGAGCAAGGACACAGAAATGTCACTTTGAGTTCAAATCAGGTGAAGATGCTGCTGAACTGGGATGTGGTGCACGAGTCTGGTGACTCAGGTACTGGCTGAGATGGGGGGAAGGTCACAAGATGCCCAAGGATGTGACAAACAGGGAACTGAAGATTAAAGGGAAGGGGGGATTTAGTGAGGCCCAAAGAATCCATCTGAGGAGAAAAGGGCCCTGTGGGAACCCCAAGGTATCAACATTGACCTCTTCCTGCAGGTCCTTCTGTGGTGGGCCTTGTCTCCACACCGGGGATGGGCAAGTTGCTGGCTGAGGCCCGCCTGGTCCTGGGGCCTGAGAGGCAGGCAGTTCCACATGGGGCACAAAAGGGCGTGCTGCGAGGAGTCTCCTCTGTCCTGCTCTCAGACGTCATCTCTGCCTTTATGAGCAACAGGGACACCCAGAACCTCAACTCCCCTATCACCTTCATCTTTTCCCACCATGTGAGTGCTGGTGAGATGGGACTGTGGGTGTGGAAGGAGCCTGGGTCTTGGGCACAGCCTCGCTGCTCAGCTCAGTCTTGATTGAGGTTCTTGGGGGCTCCCCCATGGCTGCATCATTCCCCAAAGAAAGCCTTTTGCAAGCCAGCTTTGGATATGCATTTCTGAGCACCAGAACAATCAGGTCCCACCTACACTCTGTTTCTACAGTCACTGACCCCTGGGCCAACACAAAAGGTGTTCTGCGTCTTCTGGAATCACACTCCGGATGGATATGGTCATTGGTCCACCACAGGCTGCAGGATGGTGGCCACTGGAGACACCGGCACCACCTGCCAGTGCACCCACCTCAGCAGCTTTGCCATCCTCATGGCCCACTACGATGTGCCGGTGAGAGCCCTGAGAGAGGCTGCGTTCCATGCCTATTGCTCTGAAACATATTTCCCCACATACGGGGCTTAAAAAAAAAACCAAATTTATATCTTGTTTCTTTGGGGCAGCACTTGGGCAGGGCATAGCTAATTGTCTGCTCAGGGTCTTACAAGCCTGAAATCAGCCAGATTTGTATTCTCCTCTGTGGCTCAGGTTCCTCCTGTGAGCTCCCTGTTTTTGGCAGGATTCAGTTCCTTGCAGTGGTAGGACTGGGGTTCCACTTTCTTGCTGCCTGTGATCAGGGGATCATGCTTGGCCACTAAGGACTACCTGCTTTCCTTCTCTGGCTGCCCTCAACCAGTGTATCAACATTTCTATCCAGAGGCCAGCAGAAGGAGCTCCCTCACCTCAAATGGTCTCTAATTTTGAATCTTTTAATCCAGGAAGAGCCCAGAGATTTGATGGCTCCCTGATTAGACCGGGCCCACCCAGGATAAACTCTCTCTCTTAGAGTCAACTGAATAGGACCTGAATTCCATCTGCAAAATCCTTTCAGAACAACACAATTTGGCCTTTAGCTGAAAACCCAATAGAAGGTGTGTGTATACCTTCTATCACTGCCAAATTACAGTTTGCATAACAGAGGTGTCCTCAGGGCAGGAGTGTTTAGGGGTTATAGAATGGAAGATATGGTGGTGTCAGAGGTCAGAGGGCCTGGGAAGCCAGTGAGGACAGGTAGATTAGGAACTATGTTTGCTTGCTGCCCTGGCCAGGTGAGCTGGTCACTTCCTCTCAGTCACCAAAACTAATGTCTCACTCAGGTGACCTGTAAAGTAAAACAAACCATTGTGAATTCTGGGGCTTTGTCTTGAGGAAGGACTCTCCTATCCTTTGATTTTTTTTTTGTATTATGTTATGTTAGTCACCATACAGCACATCAATAGTTTTTCTTTTTAATTTAATTTTATTATGTTATGTTAGTCACCATACAATACCTCATTAGTTTTTGATGTAGTCATCCACAATCTATTGTTTTTGTATAACACACAGTGCTCCATGAAGCTCGTGCCCTCCTTAATACCCATCACTGGGCTAACCCATCCCCCCACCCCCCTCCCCTCTAAAACCTTCAGATTGTTTCTCGGAGTCCATAGTCTCTGATAGTTTGTCTCCCCGTCTGATTTCCCCCTTCATTTTTCCCTTCCTTCTCCTAATGTCCTGCATGCTGTTCCTTATGTTCCACAAATAAGTGAAACCATATGATAATTGCCTTTCTCTGCTTGACTTATTTCACTTAGCATAATCTCTTCCAGTCCCCTCCATGTTGATGCAAATGTTGGGTGTTCATCCTTTCTGATGGCTGAGTAATATTCCATTGTATATATGCACCACATCTTCTTTATCCATTCATCTGATGAAGGGCATCTTGGCCCTTTGCACAGTTTGGCTATTGTGGACATTGCTGCTATGAACATTGGGGTGCATATGGCCTTCTTTTCACTATATCTGTATCTTTGGGGTAAATACCCAGGAGTGCAGTTGCTGGGTCATAGGGTAGCTTTATTTTTAATTTTGTGAGGAACCTCCACACTGTTTTCCAAGTTTTCCAACTTGCATTGCCACCAACAGTAAGAGGGTGCCCTTTTCTCCACAACCTCTCCAACATTTGTTGTTTCTTGCCTTGTCCATTTTTGCCATTCTAACTGGTGTAAGGTAGTATCTCAGTGTGGTTTTGATTTGAATTTCCCTGATGGCTAATGATGATGAACATCTTTTCATGTGTCTGTCAGCCATTTGTATGTCTTCTTTGGAGAAGTGTCTGTTCATGTCTTCTGCCCATTTTTTGAATTGATTATTTGTTTTTTTGGGTGTTGAGATTGAGAAGTCATTTATAGATCTTGGATACCAGCCCTTTATCTGTAGTGTCATTTACAAATATCTTCTCCCGTTCCGTGAGTTGCCTCTTTGTTTTGTTGACTGTTTCCTTTGCTGTGCAGAAACTTTCTCTCTTGATGAAGTCCCAAAAGTTCATTTTTGCTTTTGATTGCCTTACCTTTGGACTTGTGTCTTGAAGGAAGTTGCTGTGGCCTATGTCGAAGAGGTTACTGCTTGTGTTCTCCTCTAGGATTTTGATGGATTCCTGTCTCACATTGAGGTCTTTCATCCATTTTGAGTTTACCTTTGTGTATGGTGTTAGAGAATGGTCGAGTTTCATTCTTCTGTATATAGCTGTCCAATTTTCCAGGCACCATTTATTGAAGAGACTGTCTTTTTTCCATTGCATATTTTTTCTTGCTTTGTTGAAGATTACTTGACCATATAGTTGAGGGTCCATATCTGGCCTCTCTATTCTGTTCCATTGGTTTATATGTCTGTTTTTGTGCCAGTACCATGGTGTCTTGGTGATCATGGCTTTGTAAGATAGCTTGAAATCGGGCAACGTGATGCCCCCAGCTTTCTTTTTGTTTTTCAACATCTCCTTGGCGATTCGGGTCTTTTCTGATTCCATACAAATTTTAGGATTGTTTGTCCCAGCACTTTGAAAAATGCCATTGGTGTTTTGATCGAGATGGCATTAAAAGTATAGATTGCTCTGGGTAGCATAGACATTTTAACAGTGTTCATTCTTCCAATCCAGGAGCATGGAGTGTTTTTCCATGTTTTTGTGTCTTCAATTTCTTTTTTTCCTTTTTTCTTTTTAATTGTTATGTTAATCCCCATACATTACATCATTAGTTTTGGATGTAGTGGTCCATGATTCATTGTTTGTGCATAACACCCAGTGCTCCATGCAGAACGTGCCCTCTTTAATACCCATCACCAGGCTAACCCATCCTCCACCCCCCTCCCCTCTATAACCCTCAGTTTGTTTCTCAGAGTCCAGAGTCTGTCATGGTTCCACTCCCCCTCCGATTTCCTCTCCTTCATTCTTCCCCTCCTGCTACCTTCATTTTTTTTTTTTTCTTAACATATATTGCATTATTTGTTTCAGAGGTACAGATCTGAGATTCAACAGTCTTGTACAATTCACAGCGCTTACCAGAGCACGTACCCTCCCCAGTGTCTATCACCCAGTCACCCCATCCCTCCCACCCCACCCCCCACTCCAGCAACCCTCAGTTTGTTTCCTGAGATTAAGAATTCCTCATATCAGTGAGGTCATATGATATATGTCTTTCTCTGTTTGACTTAATTCGCTCAGCATAATACCCTCCAGTTCCATCCATGTCGTTGCAAATGGCAAGATCTCATTCCTTTTGATGGCTGCATAATATTCCATTGTATATCTATACCACATCTTCTTTATCCACTCATCTGTCGATGGGCATCTTGGCTCTTTCCACAGTTTGGCTATTGTGGACATTGCTGCTGTGTCTTCAATTTCTTTCATGAGTGTTCTGTAGTTCCTAGAGTATAGATCCTTTACCTCTTTGGTTAGGTTTATTCCCAGGTATGCTATGGTTTTTGGTGCTATTGTAAATGGAATCAATTCTCCAATTTCTCTTTCTACAGTTACATTGCTAGTGTATAGGACAGCAACTCATTTCTGTGCATTGATTTTATATCCTGCCACATTACTGAACTGCTGTATGAGTTCTAGTAATTTGGGGGTGGAGTCTTTTGGGTTTTCCACATAAAGTACCATGTCATGTGCGAAGAGAGAGTGTTTGACTTCTTCTTCACTAATTTGAATACTTTTTATTTCTTTCTGTTGTCTGATTGCTGTTGCTAGGACTTCTAGTACTATGTTGAACAATAGAGGTGAGAGTGGGCATCCTTGTCATGTTCCTGATCTCAAGGGAAGGGCTCTCAACCTTTCCCCATTTGGAATGGTATTTGCTGTGGGCTTTCCATGGATGGTTTTTATGATATTGAGGAATGTTCCCTCTATCCATACACTCTGAAGAGTTTTAATCAGGAAAGGATCGTGTATTTTGTCAAATGCTTTTTCAACATAAGTTGATGTGGAGGTTCCTCACAAAATTAAAAATAGAGCTACCCTATGACCCAGCAATTGCACTCCTGGTTATTTACCCCAAAGACACAGATATAGTGAAAATAAGGGCCATATGCACCCCAATGTTCATAGCAGCAATGTCCACAATAGCCAAACTGTGGAAAGAGCTGATATGCCCTGCAACAGAGGAATGGATAAAGAAGATGTAGTCCATATATGATAGAGTATTAGCCATCCGAAAAGATGAATACCAACTTTTACATTAACATGGATGTGACTGGAAGAGAGTATGCTAAGTGAAATAAGTCAAGAAGAGAAAGTCAATTATCATATGGTTTCACTTATTTGTGGAACATAAGGAATAGCATGCAGGACATCAGGAGAAGGAAGGGAAAAATGAAGGGGGCTGGAATTCAGAGGGAGAGATGAACCATGGGAGACTATGGACTCTGAGAAACAAACAGGGTTTTAGAAGGGAGGAGGGAGGGGGGATTGGTTAGCCCAATGATGGGTATAAAAGAGGGCACATACTGTATGGAACACTGGCTGTTATATGAAAACAATGGATCATGGATCACCACATCAAAAACTAATGATGTATTGTATGGTGATTAACATAACATAATAAAATAAAAAAAAAAGAAATAAGTCAAGCAGAGAAAGTCAATTATCATATGGTTTCACTTATTTGTGGAGCATAAGGAATAGCATGGAGGACATTAGGAGAAGGATGGGAAAAATGAAGGGGTGGGGGAAATTGGATGGGGAGATGAACCATGAGAGACTGTGGACTCCGAGAAAAAAACTGAGGGTTTTAGAGGGGAGGAGGTTGTGGGATGGGTTTGTCTGGTGATGGGTACTAAGGAGGGCATGTATTGCTTGGAGCACTGGGTGTTATACGCAAACAATGAATCATGGAACACTACATCAAAAACTAATGATGTACTATATGGTGACCAACATAAGAGAATTAAAAAAAAGCATTATGGTCTGAGAATATGCAGGGAATAATCTCAATCTTTTGATATAAGTTGAGACCTGATTTGTGACCCAGTATGTGGTCTATTCTGGAGAAAGTTCCATGTGCTCTTGAGAAGAATGTTGTTTTAGGGTGGAATGTTCTGTATATATCTATGAAGCCCATCTGGTCCAGTGTGTCATTCAAAGCTCTTGTTTCTTTGTTGATTTTCTGCTTAGATGATCTGTCCGTTGCTGAGAGTGGAGTATTGAGGTTTCCTACTACTAATGTATTTTTATCAATATGACTATATTTCGGTTAATGGTTGGCTTATGTAGTTACCTGCACCCATGTTGGGGGCATAGACATATTTTTTTTTATTTGCGAGAGAGAGAATGAGAGACAGAGAGCATGAGAGGGAGGAGGATCAGAGGGAGAAGCAGACTCCCTGCTGAGCAGGGAGCCTGATGTGGGACTCGATCCCGGGACTCCAGGATCATGACCCGAGCTGAAGGCAGTCGCTTAACCAACTGAGCCACCCAGGCGCCCCTGGGGGCTTAGATATTTACAATTGTTAGATCTTCTTGTTGGATAGACCCTTTAGGAATGATATAGTGTTGTTCTGTGTCTCTAACTACAGTCTTTAGTTTAAAATCTAATTTGTCTGATATGACAATTGCCAGCCCAGCTTTCTTTTGAGGCCCGTTGGCATGGAAGATGGATCTCCATCCCTTCACCTTCAGTCTGGATGTATCTTTAGGTTCAAAATGAGTCTTTTGTAGACAGCATATGGATAGGTCCTGTCTTTTTATCCAATCTGCAACCCTGTGCCTTTTCATGGGAGCACTTAGGCCATTCACGTTGAGAGTGATTATTGAAAGATATGAATTATTTGTCATCATGTTGCCTGTGAAGACCTTGTTGCTATCGATTGTCCCTGTATATTTCTGTTCTATATCTCTCTTGGGGTTTTTCTCCTTTTATAGAACCCCCCTTACTATTTCTTGCAGGGCCGGCTTAGTGGTCACATATTCTTTTAGTTTCTGCCAGTCTTGGAAGCTCTGCATCTCTCCATCCATTCTAAATGACAGCCTTGCTGGATAAAGTATTCTTGGCTGCATGTTCTCCTCATTTAGTACTCTGAATATGTCTTGCCAGGCCTTTCTGGCTTGCCAGGTTTCTGTGGATAGGTCTGACATTATTCTGATGTTCCTCCCTCTGTACATACAGAATCTCTTCCCCCTAACTGCCCTTAAGATGGTTTCCTTGGTTCTAAGATTTGCGAGTTTTACTATTACATGCCAGGGCATTGGCCTGTTTTCCTTGATCTTGGGAGGGGTCCTCTCTGCCTCTAGGACATGAATGTTTGTTTCACTCCCCAGATTAGGGAAGTTCTCAGCTACAAATTGCTCAAAGATATTTTCTAGTCCTTTCTCTCTTTCCAAAACCTCAGGGATCCCAATAATTCTGATATTGGATGTTCCACTGAGTCACTAATCTCTCTCAATTTGATCCCTTTCATTTTAATTTATTTTTCCCATGCCGCCTTGGTTTCCTTCTTTGCTATCATCTTATCCTCTAGCTCACTAGTTCGTTCTGCCTTGTTTACCCTGGCAGTCAGAGCATCCAGTTTAGACTGCATTTCATTCGTAGCATTTTTAATTTTGGCCTGATTAGATCTCATTTGTGCCCTTAGAGATTCTATATTCTCGTTAATATTTTTCTCAAGCCTAGATATTGCCTTCATAATTGTTACTCTGAAGTCTATTTCTGACATCTTGGTTATATCCATACCCATTAGACCTGTGGCAGAGGCCACAGTCTCTGATTCTTTTCTTTGTTGGGGGTTCCTCCTTCTAGTCATTCTGTTGAGGGTTGGTTGAGGGAATGTACAGAGTCCAAATTACTGACCATAACGCAAGCAAGATGCACCTGTTTTCTAGGGACCTTAGGGTTGTTGCCCTCTTGTTCTCCCAGCCTGTCTTCTGGAGGAGGGGCCCACTGCACTGTTACTCAGGCAACCCTGTTTGGGCAGAGTTGCTCTGCCCCTGTAGGGTGGATGGGCTCAGTGAAAATTGTTTTTTTGGGGCTTTTGTTCTCTGGCTGCTTTCCCTGGCAGTTTTCCACGTCTCTTCTGAGAGTCAGAGCAGAAGTGTCCAAACCTCTGTCTCAGAACAGAGAAATCGCAGTCTGTTCTTCAGTGAGCTCTCCAGGCCACACTGTCTCCATTTTTGTCTGTGGTGCTAAAAACCACAGTGTCCTGGGTTGTGCACCCCACAGCAGCGCTCCCAGCTGTCTCTCCCAGGGCCAGACACGTCTCTGCCCTTTGTACTTCTAAAACCACAAGCTGCTCCTGTTTTGCCCGCCTGTCCCTGTAGCTCCAGGTTTCAGTCTGGGGGGCTTGCCTAAAGTCTTTTCCCCGCCACTACTGGTCTGTGTGTCTGTGCCTGGTCCCCAGAGTGGGAGGCTTTTGCCTTCCTGAGCAAGATCATGGAGGGTCCCTCCCCCTTCCATTTATATTCTGATATCTGCCCACAGAACCTTGGCTCTCCACTTCATACCTCAAAACCAAGCGCTGGAGATATTCTGTTTGTAGAGATCCAGATCTATCCTCTTACCTCTCAGGCTGATTTTGTGGGTGTTCAGAATGGTCTGGTAGATATTCAGCTCAATTTATGTGACCGGTTGAAATAGAGTCCCTACTCCTCTGCCATCTTTTTTCCCTCTCTATCCCTTGATTCTTGCAGGATCTGAATGAGTTCAGAATCCCATATACAGTGGAATATTATGCAGCCATCAAGAATAATGAAATCTTTCCATTTGCAATGACGTGGATGTAACTAGAGGGTATTATGCTAAATGAAATAAGTCAGCCAGAGAAAGACATGTATCCTATGATCTCACTGATACGAGGAATTCTTAATCTCAGGAAACAAAGTGAGGCTTGCTGGAGTGGTGGGGGGTGGGAGGGATGGGGTGGCTGGGTGATAGACATTGGGGAGGGTATGTGCTATGGTGAGCACTATGAATTGTATAAGACTGTTGAATCATAGACCCGTACCTCTGAAACAAATAATACATTATATGTAAAAAAAAAAAAGGATAGTAGGAAGGGAAAAATGAAGAGGGGGAAATCGGAGGGAGAGACGAACCATGAGAGATGATGGACTCTGAAAAACAAACTGAGATTCTAGAGCGGAGGGGGGTGGGTGTATGTGTTAACCTGGTGATGGGTATTAAGAAGGGCACATACTGCATGAAGCACTGGGTGTTATACGCGAACAATGAATTAGGGAACACTACATCAAAAATTAATGATGTAATATATGGTGATTAATATAACATAATAATAAAAAAAAGAATCCCATAGAATTCTAGCATTCTGAACCTGGAGGAATTTCCCGAATAACATAACAAATTAACCTGGTTCCTCCATTCTTGATGTTGCTACGCCAAAAAATAAAATAAAAAATAATGGAAGAGTCATTATGCCAGAGCAGGAAAATGTGACTGTGATGTCCTCTTTGCTTCTCTATGCTGGGTCCCAGGTGGAGGATCCCGTGCTGGCTGTGATCACCTACTTGGGTCTAGGCCTCTCTCTCCTGTGCCTCCTCCTGGCAGCCCTCACCTTCCTGCTGTGCAAAGCCATCCAGAACACCAGCACCTCGATCCACCTGCAGCTTTCAATCTGCCTCTTCCTGGCCCACCTGCTCTTCCTCATGGCCATCGACTGGACTGAGATCAAGGTATTGACATTGTCATAGGGGAGTCCCTGCTCTTCCCCAGGGGATGCTCAGTTCATGGAGCCATGCTGCACTGATACCTTAATAAAATGGCTTTGGGTCTCAAGGACCCAAAGGAAAGTTTTGAAGGGTAAGTAGCCTATTTCACATTGACAAAACTAGAGAAGAACCCTTCTCTTAACAACTTCTTTATACACATGAGAGTTCTCCCCCATGGCAAGATATGGGAAGGGTCCTGCGGTCACCCTCCTCCCTGACAATCCCTCCTGGTGACACCTTTCTCCTCCCCCAGGTGCTGTGCACCATCATTGCGGGTGCCCTACACTATCTCTACCTGGCGTCCTTCACCTGGATGCTGCTGGAGGGTCTGAATCTCTTCCTCACTGCACGCAACCTAACGGTGGTCAACTACTCCAGTGTGAGCAGGGTCATGAAGAAGCTCATGTTCCCCGTGGGCTATGGAGTCCCGGCTATAATTGTGGCCATTTCTGCTGCATCCAGGCCTCACCTTTATGGAACACCCACCCGGTAAATGCAAATTCCCTACATGATCATGGTCAGCACTAGAGCCAGAGTAGCATTTTTTATTATGCCCGAGCATAATACAGAGAAGACACATGAAGTAATAATCCTTAGGACATTTTTCTGGTGGAAAATTATAATAATTAAGCAGCATGTCTTTAAACCTCTGTCCTTTGAATAGCAAAACTGAAGCCAAAGAAGTGCTTAGGACATCATTAAAAAAATTGAATCTACTTCTTCTTCTTCTTTTTTAAATTTTATTATGTTATGTTAGTCACCATACGATACATCATTGGTTTTTGATGTGGTGATCCACGATCCATTGTTTTCGTATAACACCCAGTGCTCCATGCAGTATGTGCCCTCCTTAATACCCATCACTGGGCTAACCAATCCCCCCTCCCCCCTCCCCTCTAAAACCCTGTTTGTTTCTCAGAGTCTATAGTCTCTCATGGTTCTTTTTCCAAATCCTTTCAGATGTTCCAATGTTTTCATTTGGAAAAGGGGAGTTGATTTAAATAATGAAGTAATAGATTGTATTATAGTTAAGATTTAGAAGGTGCTTACTTTATGCCATGCTTTTTTGTAACCATTTTTGATTGTGTTAACTCGCTTAATCCTCACATTAATACTATGAGTTAAGTACAGTCATTTGCCCAATTTTACAGATGAAAACTGAACCACAGATAGTTAAATTAAATGCCCCAAGGTGCTTCGCTAGTAAGCGGCAGAGCTGAGATTCCAATCCAGGGAGTCAAGCTGCAGAGCTCATACTCTGTTATCTTCACATCTAATACCCAGTTTTGTGTTTTATTTTTTTATCGAAATATATTTCACATACCGTAAAATTGACCCTTTAAAAGTGTACAGATGAATGTTTTTTAGAATAATCACAGAGTCATGCAGTCACCACCACAATGGTGTTCTAGAACACTTTCCTCTTGTGCACAACATTCCCTCCTCATTCCTGCTACCCTCCTCTACCCCTGCCCCCAGCCACCACTAATCTACCCTCTGTCTCTATAGATCTGCCTGTTTTGGATATTTGATGTAAATGAAGTCATACATGTGGTCTCTTGTGACTGCATTCTTCCCTTTGTAGGATGCTTTCAGGGCTCACCCACATGGTCGTTGCAAGTATGGTGACTTTGTGACTTCATTCCATGTTGTTAATTACTCCTGATGGTGGTATTATTTTGCAAATAATATTCCATTATACAGATACTGCATCTTGTGTCTCTATCATTTGATAAGCTCTTAGATTGTTTCCAGTTTTTGCCATTATGAATGATGCTTTCATAAACATACATGTGTAAGTTTTTATGTGAACGTGTATTTTCATGGGTTTTGGGTATATATCCATTTGTGGCATTGCTGGATCATGTCACACATCTACGTTTAGCATTTGGACAAACTGCCATGTGTTTTCCCAAGTGTCTGCACCATTTTAGATTCACACAAGCAATCTGCACATGAGGGTTCTAATTTCTTCACATCATCAACTCTTAATTTTCTACATTTTGAATGTTAGCCCTTTGCAGGAGTTTGAAGAGATATCTCATTGTGGTTTAGGCTTCAATTCCCTCCTAACTAGTGATGCTGAGTGGCATTTCCTCTGCTTATTGAGCCTCTGCCTATCTTCTTTGGAGAAATGCCTTTTCAGATCTTTTGCCCATTTTTAAATTGGGTTATTTGTCTTTTTATTGTTGAGGTTTTGATAATAGATTCTGGACTTTTGGTGGTGCCTCCTCAATATGTGATTTGTAAATATTTTCTACCAAGCTGTGTCTTTGCACTTTCTCGATAATGTCCTTTAAAGCAGAAAAGGTTTTAATTTTGATGAAGTCCAGTTTTTTTTTTCTTTTGTTGCTCATGCTTAGGATGTCATATCTAAAACCATGTGCAACTTAATATTCCTACATTCCCTTCCTCCTCCCCAAATTATGTTTGTATCTTACAAGCCCACGGACACAGTTTTATAAGTATTGCTCTGTGTAGTAATCGTTTAAAACAGAAGAGGAGAAGAGTTACAAACAAAAATATACTTACAGTGTCTTTCATAATACCTACATAGTTACTTTGACTTGTTCTCTCCATTTGTTTGGATTCAAGTGACTGTCTAATGTCCATCACTATCAGCCCAAAGGACTCATTTAGTATTTCTTGTAGGATAATTCAGCAAGCAAGAATTATCTTATTTTTGTTTTTCTTAAGATGCCTTAATTTCTTCATTTTTCAAGGAGAATTTAGCTAGATGTGGAAGTCTTGGTTGACCATCATTTTTTTGACACTTTGTAGAAGTTATTCCACTGTTTTCTGATCTCCATGATTAGTGTTTATTTTCTTGAAGTTTTTTTGTTTTTGTTTTTGTTTTTTGTTTTTTGTTTTTTTTTGAGAGAAGGAGAAGGAGAGAGAGGATGGTGGGGCAGAAGGAGTGAGAAAATCTTATGCAGGCTCTATGCCCAGCAAAGAGCCTGATGCTGTGGAGTTATTCTTAGAAATATATTGTAAACCCTAAGGAGCGACTGTGGAAGCAGCTGAAACGTGAGCACAATTGAACACAATGGCCCAGTAGGAGCAGGATCCCGCAATCTCCAGGGGCAGAGCATAAGTTAGGAGCTATAAAAGAATGTAACCCTCAGCCCCCACTTTCTGCACCTGGTGATTGCTAGCCCAAACATCCCGCTCCTCCCTTATCCCATGACTGACTCTCTGCGTGCCTATGCGTAGGGGAGAATGCAAGCCTGCTTTACGGCTTCAAGACATTTGCCATCCCTCTGTACTCTTGCCCATAATTTGAGGCATCTGTCCTTGCTTTTCTGGCGCAAAACAAAAGAAAAGCTATGTGCAGGATTCAGCTGCCGCTGGTCTCCCTGCCTGCGTGGCCACTCAGATCGGTGTCTGAGAACTTTATTTCATTGTGTGACGACAGATGCGGGGCTCCATCTCATGACCCTGAGATCATGACCTGAGCCAAAATCATGAGTAGGATGCTTAACCCACTGAGCCACCCAGGAGCCCCTTATTGAGAATCTCTTGTATGTGAAAAATCAATTTTCTCTTGCCACTTTAAAGATGTTGTCTTGGTCTTTGTCAGTAGGTCTATGATGTGTTTTGGTGTGGATCTCTTTGAGTTTGTTCCACTTGTAGTTCATTTAGCTTCTTGGATGTGTAAATTAATATTTTTATTTAAATTTGGGAAGTTTTTAGCTTCATTCTTCAAGCATTTTTCTGCCGTTTAGCTTTGTCTTCTTCTGGGACTCCAGTATGTGTATGTTGGTGCACTTGGTCCTGTGCCACAAGTCTCTGGGGGTCCTTTCATTTTTCTTCATTCTACTTTCCATTCCTCAGATGCCATAATTTCTATTGACCTATATTCAAATTTATTAATTTTTTACTTTTACCAACTCCAATCTGTTGTTGAGCCGTTCTGGTGAATTTTTCATTTCAGTTATACTTCTCAACTCTAGAATTCCTATTTGGGTCCATACGTAGTATCTATTGTTTTATCCAATTTCTTTATTTGGTGAGACATTTTTGTCATATTGTCCTTTAGTTTTTAGTTTTTCTGTATTTTCTTTATTTTTTTTTCTTTTAGAAAGAGAGAGAGAGAGAGAGAGAGAGCGCAAGCGCACATGTGTGAGCAGGGGAGGGGCAGAGGGAAAGAGAGAATCCCAAGGAGGCTCAGTGAGGAGCCTGCCTCGGGGCTCCATCCCATGACCCCAAGATCATGACCTGAGCTCAAATCTAGAGTCAGGTGCTTAACTGACCGAGTCACCCAGGTTCCCCTTCCTTTAGTTTTTTAGACCTGGTTTGGTGTTTTTAAAATATTTATAATAACTGATTTAAAGACTTTATCTACAAAGTTTGAAATCTGTGCCTCTTAGGAGACATTTTCTTTTGACTGATTTTTTCCTCTGTGTCTGTTGCACATTTTCTTGTTTCTTTGGATAGATCATAAATTTTTGGTTAAAAGTCAATATATTAGATAATATATTGTAACACCTCTGTTATCAGATTCCTCCTCCCTCCCAGATACGTTGTTTCTGGTATGTTGGTGGGTTTTTTTGTTTGTTTGTTTAGGGACTTTCCTGGACTAATTCTGTAGAGTGGTCATTCCTTGCAGTGTGTGACCTCTGAATTCTCTGCTAACTTAATTAAAGTTCTTAGTTTTATTTTTAGTCCTGGGTTACTATGGTGTTGGTCACATCTGGGTCAGGATAATTTAATGGCGACCCAATGTTTCTTCAGAAGACTTCCTTAATGCTTTGCATTCTTTTACAAAGGTATGTGTGTGAGAAGGCACACCTTCAAACTTAGGGTTGTACACATAACAGTCTTAGCTTTCATTTTCTGATTGCACAAAGCCTCAAGGTCAGTCAGAGATGAGAGACTAGTGCTTTCTTTTTTCCCTATGCCTTTTCAAAAACATTTTTTATCCAATTAAATGAATATATAGTGTTTTGTTAGTTTCAGAGGTAAAATTTAGTGATTCAACAATTATATGTAACACCCAGTGTCATTACATCAAATGACGTCCTTAATGACCATCACCCACTTACCCCATCCCCCCCCCACCTCCCTTCCAGCAGCCCTCAGTTAAGAGTCTCTTATGGTTTGTCTCCTCTTCTGATTTTGTGTTATTTTATTTTTCCTTCCCTTCCCCAATGTTCTTCTTAAATTCCACATGTGAGTGAAATCATCTGAGATTTGTCTTTCTCTGACTGACTTAATGCACTTAACATAATAACCTCTATTTCCATCCATGTCGTTGTAAATGGCAAGATTTCATTTGTTTTGATGGCTGAGTAATATTCCATTGCATGTATATGCCACATCTTCTTTATCCATTCATCTGTCAATGGACATCTGGGCTCTTTCCATAGTTTGGGTTTGTGGACATTGCTACTATAAACATTGGGGTGCATCCCTATGCCTTTTTTGAGTGAGGCATATCCTCGTGCATCCTTAGATTTAGAGGAATATTTCAGAGGTTTTCAAAATTTCTTATGGTCCTTTGGTTCTCCAGTATTTCCTTTTAAATTGCTGGATGAGTTCTTGTTGATAGCACCTGACATCATAGACCTAGACAGCTGGTGATGTGAAAGTAGTTTGCTCTCGTATTGGTAGTGCCCTAGAGTAGGCTCCCTTCTTCCCCATGAGTTCTCAATCAAATCAACTAGCCACCAAATTTAGAGAATAAAGGAGTTAGGAACTACAGAGTTAGAAAAAAAGTATTGGTTTTGTTCTGGGGATGATGATGATGCTTTTAATGGAGCTCCAAAAATAGATCTCTCCATTGTCTTCAGTGCTCTCCACTTTTGGCTGCCGCACCACTAAGGTCCAAGTTAAACCATCCCAGACTCCTTTCTCCCCAGTCTTACGGAGGTTCAGTAGTTTCTCTTGGATAGACTATTTTCAATTTGTTCTGTGGTTTTGGGTAATTGCCAGAGTTTTGAAATAGTTGGTTTTCACTGTTCTGTGTGTATTTTGTTGTTTTAGAAGGAGAGCAAGTTCACCAAGGTCCTTACTCCTCCATTCAGTAAGTCAGTTCCCAGGACGTGCACTCCTAAGCACAACATGCTGCTGCACGTATTGAATGGAGCATTGGGTGTTATACGCAAACAATGAATCATGGAACACTACGTCAAAAACTAATGATGTACTGTATGGTGACTAACATAACATAATAAAAAAAGTAAAGATCACTGAACTGTGTAGTTTAAATGGGTGGATTTTATGGTCTGCAAAATATATCTCAATAAAGCCACGAAAACATTTAAATCTAAGTTGATGGGTTTGGCAGCCGATGGAAACAAATTCAATGGAAGAGCACAAGAAAGGCCCCTCAAAGCATGTTAGGCTCACAGGACTCGTCAAAATCTGTTAACACATTTGTGGACTTCTTTATTTCAACACTGTTTATCTCCATAACATCATCCAATGTCAATATGTCAGCTAAAAATATAATTTCCTTAGGGAATCTTCCTTAACCATTCTAATCCCTCAGACTCCAAACTAAGCAGGACATCCAATGATACATTCTCACAACCTCACACTTTTGTTGTATTGTTACAGTATGTCTAATTGTGTGTCTCCACTCCTTGTGAGATTTGTGGGTTTTAAGACCATGTTTACTTTCTTTACCACTGTACCTTCGGAGCTAATGACAGAGCCTGCCACAAAAGAGTCACTCAATATTTGTTGTTGAATGAATGAATGAACGAATGAATGAATTTATATAATAGTTCTATATTCCCAAGGACTAATGCATTTTTTACTCTCTTGCTCAGCTGCTGGCTCAATCCAGGAAAGGGATTTATATGGAGCTTCCTTGGGCCAGTCTGCACCATCTTCTCTGTGAGTGATGATATCACAGCATCCCTAATGCTTAGCTGGGGGTCATGAGAAGAGCAGGATTTTAAGGGGGTGTGTGTGACAGGGGCAAGAATGTCCCTGGATTGTCATGTCATTGTTTGGTCTTCTAAGACTGCTCCTCAAACTACAAACTCTAACACTGTTACTTGATATGAAAATGACTTAAATGTGGAGTTGATGTTGGACAGGCTAGGATACAGATCACAGATTGAAATTTCATTGAATAAACCTTTTGTGGTTTCTTGAAGGTCAATTTAGCTTTTGTTCTGATGACCCTCTGGATTTTGAAAAGCAAACTGTCTTCCCTCAGCAGTGATGTATCCACCCTCCAGAACACAAGGTAAGATGGAGAAGAGGGTGACAACTGCACAGACATGTGTGGTCCTAAGGACAAAGCCACGTGCCTCAGCAGCCCCTGATGCTTCTTCTTGGGGTCTGCTAAGGGGACCTAGAGCAGAGAGATGCAGCTATCCTTCTATGGCAGCTGGCTCAGATTCAGTGATGTGCTGATGACACCCTGGCCAAGATGTTCTGTCTATTCATTTTTTTCCCAGAAAGACAGTGAGAGTATGGGGGAGGGAGGAGAGGGCTGGGGGGGGAGAGAGAGATTCTTAAGCAGGCTCTATGCTCAGTGTGGAGCCCAACATGGGGCTCTATCCCATGACCCTGAGATCATGACCTGAGCTGAAATCAAGATTCAGATGTTTAACTGACTGAGCCACTGAAGCACCCCTGTTCTATCTATTTCTAACCCCATTTTGTAACTCTGTTGGCAGCAGGAAGAATTGGCATTGGTTAATAAACGTTCTTTGGACTTTTGCCAGCAATCTTATGACAAATGTACAGAGAATATTTATGTTCCCAAGAAACACTTAGAAAAACCTGTGATTGCTCTCACAACCCAACCTACATTTCCACACCCTACCCTAGTTCAGGCTCCTTCTGACCCCTCTTCCATTCCTCTCTGTGGAGAAAATGGTAGTCAACGTCAAATCTTCTGGGAGGCTTGGGCAGTCCTTTGTTCCAGCAACCTTTGTGAAAATTTTTGCTTTCCCTTCCATGTTCCTATTATTATCCATTCCAAATGAAAATAGAAATCTCCCTTGGCTAATTGAATTTAAATAAAAAATAAACTAATGATGTACTGTATGGTGACTAACATAACATAATAACATAAAAAAAATAAAGACAGTTTCTCAAAAAAAAAAAAAAAAGAAAGAAAGAAAGAAAGAAAGAAAGAAAGAAAGAAAGAAAATAGAAATCTTGCCATTGTTATTTTTTAAATCCCAGGTCCCAGCACAGAGCCGGATGCAAAATGCCTTCTCAGTAGTGTTGAATGAATAAAATTCAAGATCTCCATGGAGCGTCATAAAATTTTTGAAACGTACATTATGAAGTATCCCTATCCTCCTCAATCCAAACCAAAACACCACCCTGGTCCCTCATGGCATTTTTTCTGTAAGGAATCATTGACAATAAAGATCAAAGCTGATCACAAGTCAGTCTGAGAACTTATCACCAAAAGGGGAAGAAAGGAGAATCCATAGGGTAGAGAGGAGAATGTTTGTCATTGTGTTGCCCCGGGTGCATCATGAGCCACCTTTCTCATCCAACCCAGGATGCTGACATTTAAGGCCACAGCTCAACTCTTCATTTTGGGCTGCACCTGGTGCCTGGGCATCCTGCAGGTGGGTCCAGCTGCCCATGTCATGGCTTACCTCTTCACCATCATCAACAGCCTGCAGGGCTTCTTCATCTTCTTGGTGTACTGCCTCCTCAGCCAGCAGGTACCACTGCCCAGCTCCCACCCAGCAGTCTTCCTATCCTCACTCCTCTCAGTGAGCTGATCCAGAGCGTATTTGCCTCTGCAGGTCCGGGAGCAATATGGGAAATGGTTCAAAGGGATCAGGAAAACAAGAGCTGAGTCTGAGAAATACACACTGTCCAGCAAGGCCATGTCTGATGCCTCCAAACCCAGCACGGTAAGATCACGCATTACTCCCAGAGCACTTCACTAAGTGATCTGCTTGAGTACCATATGCTTATCACACTGAACAACTTTAGTGTGCAGTAGATGATGCCCTAGGGTGACTCACACTTGGTTTGCTTTTTGACTCTTTACCTGTTAGTTTAATGTTAATAGTTTAGCTGTTAATTAATTGTTAACTTTTGGCCTCCCCTATGAAGACGATGCTTCCACCTGCTCTTTGGATCCCATCCTTCATACCTTATCAGTTATCTTTAAATTATTGTTCAGGGGCGCCTGGGTGGCTCAGTCATTAAACATCTGCCTTCGGCTCAGGTCATGATCTCAGGATCCTGGGATCGAGCCCCGCATCAGGCTCCCTGCTCCGCAGGAAGCCTGCTTCTCCCTCTTCCACTCCCGCTGCTTGTGTTCCCTCTCTCACTGTGTCTCTCTCTGTCAAATAAATAAATAAAATCTTTAAAAAAAATTAATTATTGTTCACACATACTCCTCTCTTTCCACTTCCCTAAGGCACCATCTCAACAATATTCCTCCCATAGTCATGGAAACATGTTTGGGGTTCTCCTCTATCTTAAAAACATGTACTACTTGCCTCCGTTTTAGCTACCAGCCAAGAGTTGACTTCTCTGTCTCCATTTCCTTGCCTTAAACTTACTCCCTTCTCCCCCAACTCTTGAAAATATGGTTCCCCCATCATGCCACCCAAACAATCATCTCTTAGATCTACAGTGATCTCCCTGTCCCTAAAAGTTTTCTCAGCAACTTCTAACTATTCATCCTTTCTCGTGAAACACTCCATCCTTATTCTGTGTAGATTCTACTCAGACACGCTTCTATTTCTTTCTTCCATTCTCTCTAGCTTTTCTCTCTTTGTTTCCTTCATTGCTTAATCTAATGGATCAGTTCCAGAATAACTTCAGTCCTGGTTAAATCTTTCCTCCTAGACAAAGCATCTATTCTCTAGTTACCACTAGACACAAATGACGGCCATGTACATTTTTCTTGCTCTGATCTCTGAAATCTAGACGAGTATTTTCAGCTTCTTATTTCTTATGTCTTGAAGACACCTTTAGCTCAGGCTTCCAGTAGAAGACTTGCAGTCTTTACCCCAATTTAATCCTTTCTCATGACATCTTTCTCTCTCTGGATGATACTCTATCATCCTGTGGCACAAATTTGGATCATAAAAGTTAACTCTCAACAATGATTTTATTTCCCACCACAAGCTATCCATTATGCAATCCTTGTTGTTTTTATCTTCTCAGTATGTCCCCAGTATGTCCTGCTGGCTCAATCTTCATCACTCCTCCTTAGCAGGCTGCCATCTTTGCTTGGCTGAGCAACTGCTGTATCCTAATTTACCACCCCTTTCTACTCTTGTCAGCTTCTCTTGCATATTTTACACATAATTCAGAGGGACCTTTTCAAAACACAAATAAAATAATGCACTCCTTTGTTAAACTCACTACATGTAGGATCAAACCCCAAATCCATAAATCAATGAGTATTTGCTTGGGTTGTCTCCTGCTTTCCTCTCCAGCTTCATCTGCCATAAACTCACCATTATTTTGGCCACACCAGATTTCTTTCAATTTTTTAAATTCACTGTGTCTCTTTGGAACAAAGACTTTGCACATCCTCCCTCTACTCGCTGTCCTTGAAACACTCTTTTGTTTTCCTTGACTCAAAACTAGGTGAGCCTTCAGATCTCAGTTCATGTGTCCATTCCTCCAAGAAGCCTTCTCTTCCTGCCTTGATTAGGCCAGATTCTCCTGTTTTTCACTCTGATAGCCCCTGTGCCTTTCCTGCAGAGCAGTTGTCAGAGTCATTTACTCTTGGTTTTCACTGTTCCATTAATGTCTGTCTTCTATCTGGATTTCAGCCCCGAGAGTGCTATGTTGGTTTTTCCCTCTAATGTATCCCCAGCATTTCACACAGGGCCAGGCACATAGAAATGCTCAATACATAATTGCTGCATGACTGATTAAATTAAATGAATAAACTGCATTTGCAGAAGGTGCAAGAACTGTCTTGCTCACCAGTCTCTTTCCAACTTTCCAAGTGCTCGATAATTATCCAGGGAGCAAACAAGTGAATGAATAAATGAATGAATGAATTGCCTGACCAGGAGGGTATTAAAACAGTAGAGTAAAGAATTGATGAGTTTATGATATCACTTTCTCTTAGGAATATCGAGATAATTCTCTGCCCCTTTGTTTCATTATTGACCATCATGTCTACTGAGTAAGACCCAAATATTTCCTTATGATCCATGAGCATCATGTAGCTCGTAGTTCCCAGACTGAAGCAGGTCTGGAATGAAATACCAGCTCTCTCACGTGCTTGCTATGTGAACTGGGTCAAATTGCTAAACATCTTAAATCTTCCATTGCCTCCTTCCTCTTTTCCCTACACTAGACAGTTTTCTTAAATTTGCTCATTCTGAACTAATTATTTGCTTCCGTGTGTAGGCTTTCAGGTGGCTCATACATTGGTCGGAGGGGGCTGAACATCTCTCACACACATTGTAGATGTTGATTCAGCCAAGGATGGTGAATGTAACCAAGCAGGAGCTAATGCAGCATCCCTCGGTACAGCTGATGCCACCACACAAGGGAAGGGTCCACATATCGGAGATGTTCATTCTGGCTGTATCACAGCCCTGTCCCACTTGGGGCTTGCATTATTCAGGAAGAATGTAATAAATAGTTCATACCTTTCTGTTTAGGGAATGCTGACAGTACTTAACCTCCGTGTTCTTTAGTTAGCTCAGCCTCAGCAAGGCCATATCGTCATCCCTTGGAGCTTTTCCCTAGGAGTCCCTGAATAGGATCTGAGCTTCCTTCACTCATTTCCACATATATACTTCAATTGTATTTGTTTCCTTTTGCTGTTGTTACAAGTTTTCACAGACTTATTGCTAAGAACAACACAAATATTAGGGATGCCTGGGTGGCTCAGTTCGTTAAGTGTCTGACTCTTGATTTCTGCTCAAGTCATGATCTCAGGGTCCTGAGATCCAGCCCCACAGTGGGCTCCGGGCTCAGTGTCAAGTCTGCTTGAGATTCTCTCTCCTCTCCCTCTCCCCACCCCCCTGCACTCTCTCGTTCTCTCTTTCTCTCTTGCTCAATTAAATAAGTAAATCTTTGCTGCTATGAACTTTGGGGTGCATGTGCCCCTTCTTTTCACTACATCTGTATCTTTGGGGTATATACCTAGTAGTACAATTGCTGGGTCTTAGGGTAGCTGTATTTTTAACATCTTGAGGACCCTCCATACTCTTTCCCAGAGTTATATGCAACTAGTGAATCACTGAACACTACATCAAAAACTAATGATGTACTATATGCTGGCTAACTGAACATAATAAGAAAGTAAGTAAATCTTTTAAAAATTCACAAACATATATCTTACAGGTCTAGAAGTTCGAGGTTTCCAATGGGTCTTATGGGAGTAAAATCAAGGGGTGAGCAGAGCTGAGTTCCTTCTGGAGACTCTAGGAGAGTTTCTAATTTCTCACCTTTTCCATCACCTAGAGTCTGCCTGCTTTCCTTAAATAGTGTCCCCCTGCTCCATTCACCTTTCACAGCCTGCGCTGCAGTATCTTCAAAACTCTCTCACTCTCACTCACTCTCCCCTGCTTTTGTCAGTTGTATCTCTTTTCCTGTCTTCGACTCTCCTTCCTCCCTCTTTCTTTTAAAAAGACCTTAGTCATTACACTGCCTCACTTCCCATCTAAGCTACATAACTTAATTTTAGCTCAAAAGTCCATTTTTTCCCCCGTGTGGAGTGACATATTCACAGGATTCAGAGAGGAGAATGTAGGCATCTTTGGGAGAATCATTACTCTGTCTACTGTACATAGTTTTGGTTTGCCTATTGTAGGACCATGAAAATCTGCCTGGTGTTATAGTGTTTGAGTAAATATCAGCCCCCCTCCCCTGAGATGATCTGCACAGTGAAGAAACATACTTTCTGTGAGAAAAATAGCATCAGATAGCTGTGTAAAATGTTAAGTCATCTGATCAGCTGTTTCTACTGTCTGTGAGCAAAGGACCAAGCAAATCCATTCCTTAATGTAGTTGTATTTTCTCCTGTCTCTTAAAATTCGGTGCCTCTCATGTTTAAAAATATAGGAATGTCTCCCCCTCATCTTGGCATCTCTTCTGTGGCTTCCTGAAGCCTTGTTCAAGAAAACCACAATATTTGCTCTTGCATTCAGTTCTGAGTAATTTCACAAAGCACCATTTTTATAACCTTCTTGTGTAGAGATAAGCATGTGAAGTTGCCTAACTCAAACACCAGAAATCACACTAAGCTTTCTATAGCCCCAGGAACAAATAACTCGTATAGGTAATGCAAGGGATAAGGGAGAAAAAGGAGAATTCACTGTTTTTTTCCTTTATATCTTAGGTGATTGACAACACATAACATTTCCAACCTTGTGTTAATTTCCCACCCTCCCTCTTTTATTTCTTTTCATGTAAACCAGCATTTCACAAACCTTGAAGCAGAGGGATGAGGACATACATCTTGAGAGAGACAGGTTTGTTTTTTTTTTTCCCTGTAGCACATTTCATTGGTCTTATTTTCTGTAACTTGGGGGTTAAGATTTGTAGGGAGATGGGACTTCTGGGATGACCAGGGTCTCACCAAATATAATAGTGTATGGGCTTTTGCTCTTCCTCTGACCTATTTTCCTGGAAAGGAAATTTTGTGATTGAAGGATTAATTAAATTTCTTATTTTGTTTTTCATAGGAAAATTTAAAAAATACTTATTTATTAATTTAGGGGGAGAGAGACAATGAGTGGGAGGGGCAGAGAGGGAGGGAGAGAGAATCTCAAGCAGACTCTGTGCTTAGCATGGAGCCCAACATGGGGCTCGATGTCACAACCCTCATCATAACCTGAGCTCAAACCAGGGGTCAGACCTGTAACTGACTGAGTCACCCAGATGCCCCAAAGGAATCTTTAGAATTATCTTTCTGTAGTCTTTTATAACATTTCTAAATATTATTTTTTCTAGGTTAATTAAAAAATATCTTGAGTTATATCCACTTATCCCATGGAAAATTGGAACGGTTATTCTCTGAGCAAATGAGAGGATAAAGAAGACTGTTGTGTGTGTTTCAAGAAATTCACCACGTCAACCATGTGAAAGAAGTCAACTATGTTTGACATCAAGACCTGCATAATCTGGAATTTTTCTGTGTCTTTCAGTTTGCCCAGAAAACTTTCCACATATAAAGGGCCCGATGTGGCCCAATTTCTTGGTCACTTTGGGTTACATGCTTTTCTGAAACCTCTCCTTCCTACAAAGACTCTTCCACATGCTGAACATCTATGAGTTGGAAAACCCACCTCATCGGATTTTAATACCAAAAGCATCCATAAGAATGGAAAAGTTCGGGGGCGCCTGGGTGGCTCAGATGGTTAAGCGTCTGCCTTCGGCTCAGGTCATGATCCCAGGGTCCTGGGATCGAGCCCCACATTGGGCTCCTGGCTCAGTGAGAAGCCTGCTTCTCCCTCTCCCTCTGCCTCTCTCCCTGCTCATGCTTTCTCTCTCTCTCTCTGTATCTCTGTGTCTCAAATGAATAAATAAAATCTTAAAAAAAAAAAAGAATGGAAAAGTTCGCACCATAGTATGGATTTTGAAATTTCTTGGTTCTGTTTTCTGTGCTGTTAATTATTCATTCATTCAAATATATTGATTTCTCATTAGGTCTAAGGCAGAGACCAAGAGAGACACAGGTTTTGCCTTCATGGAGATTTAAGGGGGCAATAAAGTGATTTTTGCACCTAGAGTTGACTCAGAGGCTGAAAGATTTCTATAAAGTACATTTCTATTGCTGGAGAATTGAAGTATAATCCATTTCACAGACACCATCTTGTCTCATCATATGATGACACAGATAGTTTGAAAACTCAGATCATGATATGTCTGTTTTAGTCCTTGTGGACCAGTGTATTAGTCAGGGTTGTCCAGAGAAATAGAACCAAAAGGACACACACACACACACACATTTTTATGAAGTGATTTATAATGAGGTATGGACTCACATGATTATGGAGCTAAGTCCCACAATCTGCTGTCTGCTAGCTGGAGACCCAGAAAAATGGTGGTGTAGGTTGAAGGTCTGGGATCCCAAAAGCTGATGGTGTGAATTCCATTCTAGGTCTGAAAGCCTGAGAACTAGGTATGTTGATTGTAGAAGATGGATGTTCCTGTCAAAGCATCAGGCTGTGTTAATTCAATCTTCCTCCACTTTTTTATTTTATTCAGGCTCTCAAGGGACTGGATGATGCCCATCCACATTGGAGGGGGCCTTCTGTGTTACCCAACCCAACTCAGATGGTAATCCCTTCCGTAAACACCCTTACAGATTCACCCAGAATTTATGTTTAACCAGCTATCTGGCATCCTCTGGCCCAGTCAAGAGGACACACGAAATTGACCATCATGGCTAGAATCTATAGCAACAATTTAAGTCTGCCTTTGTAGCATGAAATCCTCTATAAAGAATGATCATGACTGTGTTTTAATAAAACTTTATTTTTGGACACTTAATTTGAATTTCATGTGATGTTCACATGACACAAAATATCATTCTTCTTTTGATATTTTTCACCTGTTTAAAAATGTAAAGACTATTCTTACCTTGTGGTCTGTACAAAACCAGGTGGTGAGCCAGATTTGGCCCATGGGCTGTAGTTTGCTGACCTGTATCCTAGGATGTTCTGGGAAGCTCTTCATCCACACCAATTTATTCAGGCACTTTTCAAATATTTGATAAGCATTACTCTTTAAGTCATGATGCTACGTTGATAGAAATGGACATGAACAAGGTAGACTTGATTCCCATGTCAGGGAATCCTGAAGACCTGTGTATTAGCTTAGATTCCCATAACAAAATATCATAGACTGGGGGTTGTTTCAGCTCACAGATGTTCAGCATGTGGAAGAGTCTGATGAGGTGGGTTTTCCAGCTCATAGATGTTCAGCATGTGGAAGAGTCTTTGTAGGAAGGAGAGGTTTCAGAAAAGGATGCAACCCAAAGGATGTAACTCTTCCTGGCTACCTTCTCACTGTGTGCTCCCTTGGCCTTTTCTCCCTTCTCAAGTATAAAGTGCAAAAAAGGAAAACCCTCAGGTGTCTTTTCCTTTTTCTTTTCAAAGATCTTATTATTTATTTATTTATTTATTTATTTTATTATTTATTTATTTGTGTGTGTGTGTATGTGTGTGTGTGTAAGAGAGAGAGAGAGAGACAGAATAAAAGCAGGGGGAGCAGCAGGCATAGGGAGAAGTAGGTTCCCCACTGAGCAAGGAGCCTGAAGTGGGATTGGATCCCTGACCCTGGGATCATGACCTGAGCTGAAGACAGATGCTCAACCCACTGAACTACCCAGTTGCCCCTCAGATGTTTCCTCTTACAAGGCCACTAATCCCACCATAAGGGCCCCACACTGATCTCATTCTAATTATCTCCCACAAACCCCACCACCAAATACCACACATGGCGTGGGAGGGGCTAGGGATTCAACATGTGAATTGGGTAGAGGGTCACAAACATTTAGTCCACAACAATCTGTAAGGTGGGAAACCAGAAGAAAGGGAAGATAGAGTATAGTAGTTACTGTGGTGTATGGGACCTTGTGCCTGTGGGGACATGGTAGACGTGGAACAAACCCTGGCTAGGGAAGGCAGGTAGTAAGGAGCACTTAGGTCAACTGATGGCTGTATCCCTAGGTTATGGTTTGGGAGGCTGATCTCAGCATTTGTCCCCATATCTCTACTTTTTTTTTTTTTTTAACAGTTTCATAGGTAGAATTTAATGATTAACCAGTTGCATATAATACCCAGTGCTCATTACATCAATTGCCCTCCTTAATGCCCCAAACCCAATTACCACATCCCCTCACTCACCTCCCCTCCAACAACCCTCCCAGTTGGTTTCCTAGAGTTCAGCGTGTCATGTGGTTTGCCTCCCACTCAATTTTCATCTTATTTTGTTTCCTTCCCTTCCCCTATATTCATCTGTTTTGTTTCTTAAATTCCATGTATGAGTGAAATCATATGGTATTTGTCTTTCTCTTACTGAATCATTTTACTTAACATAATACCCTTCAGTTTCATCCACCCTGTTGCAAATAGCAAGACATAATTCTTTTTGATGGCTGAGTAATATTAAACTGTATAAATATATACCACTGCTTCTTTTTTTTTATTATGTTATGTTAGTCACCATACAGTACATCATTAGCTTTTGGTGTAGTGTTCCATGATTCATGGTTTGTGTATAACACACAGTGCTCCGTGCAATATGTGCTCTCCTTAATACCCCAGCCTGTTGCTGTTATCCAGATTCATATTTCCCCGTGGGAAGATCTTCAGCAATCCCATGATGGGTTGTAAAGGTCCAGAGGCTTGAGGGTGGTGGAGGGGCACATCCAAGATTATGGGGCATCTGGAGTCCTCAGTCCTGGGAGCGGCACAGAAGTTCTTTGTGGAAGGCATACAGGCCTGTGTGTGTGTGTATGTGTTTGTGTGTGTGTGTGTGTGTGAGAGAGAGAGAGAGAGACAGAATAAAAGCAGGGGGAGCAGCAGGAAGAGTGGTGGGGATAGGGCAGTGCTGGCATGTGGCCAGGGGGATGCAGAGTGAAGAGTTCTGGTTTATAACTAGAGGACACCAATGTTTTCTCTCTGCCTTCATCCATCCCTCTCTGTTTCTATCCTTCCCTCCCTCCCTCCTTCCCTCTCTCTCCCACTCTTTCTCCATACACAGAGGAAAGATCATATGAGGACACAGGGTGCAGGCAGCCATCTACAAGTCAGGAGGGAGCTCTCACCAGAAACCAACCCTGCCGGCATGTTGACCTTGGAATCCAGCCTCCAGGAAAAATTTGAGAAAAAAATTTCTGTGGTTTATGACACCTCTTTAATACTATATTATTATGGCAGTGCTCAATTCTACTACACATGGACATGGGGAAAACAAAGAAAACGTAAAAATGCAAAGAAAATCACCATAATTCCATCAGAGAGTAGTGGAACATTTTGGGTATGTTTTTCTCATCTTTTAAAACATATCAGGAATATTTTCCTTTATCAATAAATGTGTATCTCAGACTGTGTTGAGTATTGCTGAAGAATAAAAACACCTTGGTTCTAGACATGCCAGGGTTTAGGATTGTTGGGGTTGCATGAGGGAGAGCGTTGCGGTGATGGGATACTTATCTAATTTATGGCCGTGACAGTTACAGGAATCCACACATGTGATGAAATGTCACAAAACTGTACACTCCCATTGTGCTATGTCAGTTTCCTGGTTTAGATATTTGACTACTGTTACATAAGAACCTAAATACATAAAATATATCTTTTGCAGGAAGCTAGTGGAAGGACCTCTAGGTATTGTTTTTTTTTTCAATTATGTTAATCAATATACATTACATCATTAGTTTTTGAGGTAGTGTTCCATGATTCATTATTTGCGTATAACACTCAGTGCTCCATGCAGAACGTGCCCTCTTTAATACCCATCACCAGGCTAACCCATCCTCCACCCCTCTCCCCTCTAGAACCCTCAGTTTGTTTCTCAGAGTCCAGAGTCTGTCATGGTTCCTCTCCCCCTCTGATTTTCCCCCTTTATCTTCCCCTCCTGTTTCCTTCTTCTTCTTCTTCTTCTTCTTCTTCTTCTTCTTCTTCTTCTTCTTCTTCTTCTTCTTCTTCTTTCTCCTTCTTCTTCTTCTCCTTCTTCTTCTTCTCCTTCTTCTTCTTCTCCTTCTTCTTCTCCTACTCCTTCTCCTTCTCCTTCCTCTTCCCCTTCCCCTTCCCCTTCCCCTTCCCCTTCTTCTTCTTCTTCTTCTTCTTCTTCTTCTTCTTCTTCTTCTTCTTCTTCTTCTTCTTCTTCTTCTTCTTCTTCTTCTTCCTTTTTAAACATATAATGTATTATTTGTTTCAGAGGTACAGGTCTGTGATTCAACAGTCTTACACAATTCAGAGCACTCACCATAGCACATACCCTCCCCAATGTCTATCACCCAGCTACCCCATCCCTCCCACCCCCCACCACTCCAGCAACTAGGTATTGTTTTTGAAACATCTTGTCAATCTATGTTTATTTCAAAATAAAACTTAAAAATAAAGATGTCTGTGTATATGGACAACATATTCATTATCTATTCATCTGTTGAAGGGCATCTCAGTTCTTTCCATAGTTTGGCTATTGTGGACATTGCTGCTATGAACATTGGGGTGCATATGGCCCTTCTTTTCACTACATCTGTGTCTTTGGGGTAAATACCCAGCAGTGCAATTGCTAGGTCATAGGGTAGCTCTATTTTTAATTTTTTGAGGAATCTCCACACTGTTTTCCAAAGTGGCTGTACCAACTTGCATTCCCACCAACAGTGTAAGAGGATTCCCCTTTCTCCACAATCTATCCAGCATTTGTTGTTTCTTGCCTTGTCAATTTTTGCCATTCTAACTGGTGTGGGGTGGTATCTCAAGGTGGTTTTGATTTGAATTTCCCTGATGGCTAATAATGATGAACATTTTTTCATGTGTCTGTTAGCCATTTGTATGTCATCTTCAGAGAAGTGTCTTTTCATGTGTTCTGC